ATTAGTGGACGTTATTTCAGATACACTCTGTATATGTGTGATTATATATATGTGTGTGTGTGTGTGTGTATATATATATATATATATACACACACACATATATATAATCACACATATACAGAGTGTATCTGAAATAACGTCCACTAATCATATAGTGCTATTCCTAATAAAAAACTGAATCAAAAAGCCCTCTACCATTTTTCAATTTTTGCAATATTTTTTTAGTTACTACTGAACAAAATGTCAAATCACCATATAAGACGGTCATCATAAGAACAACTTTAAAAATTTTTTTTAAATAATAGAATAGAAATACAATATAAGATAAAGTACAATGGATTAGAAATACAATATAAAACTTTCCAAATAAATTAACAATAAAATATGTTGGTGTAAAAAGGTAACCATGATATCTCTCTTTTTATTCACTTTATTGTAACAGACCATTGTTAACCTTATTGCAATTGGAATTTTTTTAACATGTTCTGTTTGTATATTCAGTAAAATATAACAGATGACATTTGAAGATTTCAATAGTTTTAATGATGATTTGACGATCGAACGATTGACTATTTAATTTGACATCATGGATTTTTTTTACAGTAAACATATATTTTTACACTGAAGAGGATCCCATACTAGGGGTGAAATGTCTGTACTACATTTTTAATGTATACATTAGATTACACATGAAGAACTAGTGTCAGCTCACATTGGCATTTCCTTTTTACATCAACGTATTTATTGTTAATCTTTCTTTAAGAAACATCTTCAAAATGTTTCATAAAGAACACTGAAAGATATCTTAAAATTGTCTTATATATCGATTTCATCTGTTTATTCAACAATCTTTAGAAATTAATATCTAACTACACGTTAACTATTTCGAAAATTGCAAAATGGCAGAGGACTTTTCGACTTAGCTTTTTATTAGAAATAACACTGTATGATATTAGTGGGCGTTATGTCAGATATACCCTGTATATATATGTGCGCGCGCGCGCGCGTGTGTGTGTCTATACATTATTTGTATAGTACTAATTGTGATATAAGATGCATGTTTTTTAAAGAAAGAAAATATTTTTCTAAGTTATCTCCCATCACACAGAAAACATGAGGTAGAAAAAATACTTTACTTTTACACTTTAATCCTTTAGACTCTGTGTACAACCGGTCACAGAAAGGATGCAACATTTTTTTTTTGATGGATTTCAGATGGATTTGCAGTCTACTCACCGAGCGATTGGTTTTTATTTGTGGATTCATGAATAAGGACTAATCGCTTGTAATACCTTGTAATGCATATCAAATTCAAAGACATTTTTGTGAAGATTATTATTATCGATATCATCTGAGATCTGATCTACGTAATAATAATGTATATGTTGGAAAAATAGACAAAATATTGAAAAATATTAATTGTTTGATATGAATTACTTAAATGTGTATATAATAAAAAATAACTAATTAACGTATTCAAATTGCATAAAAAATAATAATTTTCAAACTGGATAATTTCAAGCTTCAGCTTCTATGGTACATCTATAAAAATTAGTCAGCGGTCAATGTGTTAATATTAATTTAATAAAAGCATAATTACATGTTGTACAAGTTACAAACAGATTACATATTATATATATATAATATACAGGATGTTCTAAAAAGATTGGGACATCTGAATAACTCAGAAAATATAAGTTTCACAGAAAAGTGTTTTAAACAAAAGTACGGTTCAAAAAAATCTATTTACTGATCTTATCTGTTTAACCTTGGATGGCGTTGCAAGGTCAAGGTCATATCGATTTTTTAAAATGGAACATCCAATACTTTTGATTACAGGATCTAATAGCTGATGTCGAGAGCTTTCTAAAATGCTATAAGAAAATATTTTTTTTATTGAGTACTTTTTGAGTTACAAGGCTTGAAAGTTACAGTACCGCCGGCATTAATATTACGCAAGGTGTCCGACCGACGGCTAAAATTTCTTAAACGTTCAGAATCATGTCCTAGATAACATTCGTTAAGATCCAGATCTTTGGAGATTGTTTCTTTTTTATTTTCATTTTTACATAAAAATGACTTTTAAAGTGCAAAGTTTTAGCCATCGATGGGACATCTTGGATAATGCTGTAACTTTCAAGCATCATAACTCAAAAAGTACTTAATGAAAAAATATTTTCTTATAGTGTTTTAGAAAGCTCTTGACAAGTTATTAGATTCTGAAATTAAAAGTAGGGTATACCATTTAAAAAACATCAATGTAACTTTGACCTTGGCGACGCCACCCAAGATCAAACTGATAAGATCAGTAAATATATTTTTGTACCCTACAACTTTTGTCTGAAATAGTTTTCTGTAAAACTTATATTTTTCGAGATATTCAGGTGTTCCGATCTTTTCGGGACACTCTGTATGTACGTTACAAATGAACGAAACATAGGCTGCGTTCACCAGAACATTTATTTTGCAACCGTTGGAAGTTTTCTTTGCACTGATTGGATTATTTTAGATCAAGAGGAATGGTCCTATCTCAACAGAGAATCATAAAACGGTTGTGTTCTGCTGAACACAAACATTATTACTAAAATCAGAGTATACTTATATCTATACTGTATAGTATAGGTATGTTTTACATTTTATAGATAAAAATTTGTTTTAATTTTCCAATAAAATTAGATTTAAAGGGATTCAGAAATTTCTGTATATACGTTTAAAGAATAATGTATTTATGTACAAAAAAAGATCAAAAACCAGGATTTTCCAAATTTTTTGAACGTTTATGAATTACAACTTATTTTTTAGAATAGTAAACTCGACCCACTTAGCTTTAGTGAATATAAAAAATCGGGGAGGGGGAGGAGTAGAAATTAATTTATTTATACTTAATTTTAATTTTGATTCTTTTTTAATTTATTATTAAATACATTTTTATTAATATATTTTTCAGATGTATAAGATGAATGCGCTTGTTTCTTATATCACTGATAAGATACTATTATATTAAAGATCAACATCCATAATCTGTGTCCATGGTGCTAGAATTCTGTCTGAGTTCTTGGATCTAAGCATATGTAGCCAATCAACGTGTAGTTTTTATGGAAAAATAGCTAGTTAATAGGTTACACATTTCTCAGTACGAGAATTCGGACAAAGTTTTAGCACCGTGGACATAGAGCTTTATGGGATTCGCGTTCTTATTAAAATTTAACTAATTAAGACTAGGTTGTCCCACCTTTTGATAAATTTCAGCTCACTGTCTTACTCTCTTATGTATTACTCTTTTATTCTTTTTTTCTTTATTCAATAAGTAAATTACCACATAGTTTATCTAAAGATGGAACAACTAGCTCTAAGAGTAATTAAGAAATTAAAAATAATAAAGTACTATGACTTATTTTTAGTTTATAATTTTTAGCTTAATTATTAGTTTTATAGACATATATATTTAAAATTCAATAATACTTGATTTTTATTCAAAATTGTGATTTTAATGTTATTATTCGAGTTTGATTATTAATAGAGAATATTATTAAAGATGATATAGAGAAAAAAATTGGAATTTTGCGGAAATATATAAGATATAATATTACAAGTATGCATATTTGTTTATGGAGCATTTATATACTAAAATATCATGAATTTAATAATGTATTAATTAGGATTGGCAAATAACGCCGTTATTTTTATTAATCGTTACCTTGTTATAATAACGATTTGGTAATGATATTGAATTTCTTATGATGTAATGTGTGGTAACATCAGAATTAAACCTGAGGCACACGATACTTGTTTTCCAGCTGGATTGCTAGCTGGATTAGGATCTTACTATCGCGCCGTATTGTTAGCACTGACAGCATCACAGCTAATACGGTGGCAAGATTCTAATCCAGCTAGCAATCCAGCAGGAAAACAAACATCATGTGCCGCAAACTTTAGAAAAGTCAATCGTTACTTGTAACGGATTGAAAAAATCATTCGTTACTGTGAAAAAAATAACTTCTTTTTAGCATGTTACGTTTTACTCGTTACTTGTTATGCGTTGTTCGTTACTTACTATTTTTTTCAGTAAATAATACATAATGGTGACAAATTACTTTTCAAAGTGAACTTTGTAAGTTTTCTAACCTTAGCACAACCTTAGCGTTTATTTTGTTAGCATTGCCGTCATAAAAAATTGCAACATCGTCATCAAATTGTTTATAAACAGTAACGACAAAGTAACTAAAAAGTAACGTTTGTTAACCCTGATATTTATCAAATAATTATATTAATAATCACAAATTTATATCAATTGTCGATAATGTCAGCATTCTACAATTACTTCCGGGCCTCGAGATCCTTTTTATAAAGACGAAAATTTATTTAGAATTGATAGACTTCAATAATATCTCATTGGTGTCTATATCTATTAATAATAACAATAAGAATCTTATGGACCGTACATGTGAAAACAACCAATAAGAAATAAATGCCTATATCGGTCGAAGCTGGAGCTTTAAGAGGATCTTTAAAATCGTTTGTATTACCGACTAAATCATATTATTTTTGTATAACAATTATTTTTTTCCTCTTATTGATTTGAAAATCCTTTTCCAGGCTTAAAGTATACGCATTAATATGTGTCTGTAAGGAACTATGCTAAGAACGACAACAAATTTCGAAATTAAGATCTTTACCATTTCTTAGTATACAATATGGCGCTCCAGAGCTGTCACGTCGTGACAACATTTGCTTCCTATAAAAGCTGTGCAATCTGTACTTATTAATAGTCCACAGACTAGTAGTAGTTTGCATGAAGAAACACCAAATTCTTAAAATTGGACTTAGACATCTAATTAAAACATAATTGTTATACGAAAATTCATATGTATGTGTGACGTGAGATATTGATGTGTGA